TTTTAGAATCAGATTCTTCTTCTGCAAGTATAGTGGGTTAAGGAAAGCACATAATGGATAATGTTTAAAAATCGTGTGCTTTCATTATGGAAAAAAAACAATCTTGTATTAAGAGTTGTGGACTGAAGAACACCTTACAGAAAGTCAGTACCTTGGAGTGCACGCATAATAAAAAGTGACCCAAAAAAAAAAAAAGTCAAAAAGAATTATTATAAATTCAAAGGTCTGGACTGGGAGATCGTTAATTGTTTTCCTGGTGGATACAGAATACTACTAGGGCAGGTCTATAACTTTTCACTTTAGACCTAGAAAAGGTTTTAGACCCTTTTGCAAATAGAGAAAATGAGACAGAAAACTAAAAGGTGATACAATATCCATTTTTATAGTGAAGCTATTTTAGATTATTGGAAGAAGTCACATCTTTTCAAGTCAAAACTGATCACCACTAAAATCTCATGCTGTGGAGATTTTCCTTTGCAGAGAGAAAATAACTGAACTTTTGGTGTTCAGAGTTATTCTTCAAGAAATTCCCTTGGATGTGTGAGACATGATTTCCCTTAAATATCTTTCACTAGTGAGCGTATTTAGCCATGTGATGACAAATTCTTTTCTTTACTTGAGTTTGGGGTTTGGGGTGTTTTTTTTTTTTTCTGATACAAAGACCAGATTTAGTGATTGGAAGTACTCCAGATCTCCTTTGAGCCCTTTAAAAACTAGACTCGCCTTCTGACACCAAGAAATTCCTAAAAAATTCTTACCATTTCATACCACTCTTAGCAGCTTGGCTGTCTGTTTGCTGAGTTCCCTTAGAAGTCTTGGATGAATAGCATCTTTGCCATTTGGGCCTATTAATTTTGCCAGGATGCTTCATAACCTCTTGCACTGACCTTCTGAACTGAGACACAGCGTCTTGTGTGTCACCCGTGAAGAAGATTCTAGTATACTCTCCCCAAACACCTCCTCCTCTACAGCAAACACACGTGCAAAAAAGCACTGATTTTTTTTTCCCCTGCTACTGTGTGCCCTTATCTATAAGCTGATCATCTATTGCCTTACAGACCATTTGACAGGTTCCCTGCTCCTGAAGAACTGGGGTTTCCTTATTTTTATGTTTCTTGCAAGCTGCTCCTCAGTCTCTTTCTTGCTTTGCTTTATTGTATTTTCATATTCAACCTTACAGAATTTATGGTCCCCTCCTTTTGCTTCATTTCAACACCTACTTTTCCGTAGGTTGGCCTCTTGCTTTTCATAGACTTTCTCGCCTGGTTGTTTAGCTCTGCCAGCATCCTCTGGATCTATCATCTCATTAAAAGGAATACAAGTATCCTTCCAAAATAAAGAAAAGCCCAAGTGTTTCTGACTTGGATTCACAATACCATGTTGCCAAGAAAGGATGCTGTTTGCCTTTCCCAGAATTCAATTTAAAAGGTCTTGTTTTCGGTTAGACTTCACAAAAGAAAAGGAAATGATATAGCATTTTGTATATGCCTGTAAGTGGCTTTGAAGTTTTCTTTCTGCTGAAATAAAATGTGAAGTGTGAAGTCTGTTTGAGAAACAAGAAGCAGGATGAAAGAAAGACAAAGCCAGTTCTCTGAGCGTGCAAAAATAAGAGGAACCAGGTTTATGATCTTGTAAAATACGATGCACATCAACTGTAAGTATGCACATACTCAAAAAATTCCATGCGGACACTCACATTTAAATATAAGCATACCTGCATTTTCCTGGATTTCTCCCCTGGCTTGGTGCTTGAGGCCAAGTTGCATGTTTCATCCTTCTGTTGAGACAGTGATCTACATTTTCAAGGCTTGTGACTGTCCCATACCTTCATCCCTGCAACTTTGGTATCAGGTCTACTGCCAATCTTTGAACAACCTTGAGCTTAACTTAACTTACTAACTTATTTAATAAACAGCTCTGTGTTTCCAGTGTGTTCCACAGCTGGAAGATACTGCCTGTAAATATCTTACTCCTTGACTTTCCTCTGGTACTTTCCCACAGCTGCCCTCTGCTAGTGTGGAACTAAAACCTCAATAAAAGCTTAGCAGATACTGCTATAAGATCACCACCCATCATTGTGATGATGATTATTGGTTTACCATTCTTGTGTCCTCCATGCTCCTCCATTTTCCTCCTGTATCCATCTCTTCGGCATATCTATTTGTAGAAGTAGCTAAATAAGTTTTGACATGGTAAAATCACCATCTTGTCATACATTTGTATGGTACTCACTCTTCCAGGACAGCGTTGCTGCAGTACACAAAAATAGTAGTAATGCCATTTGGGTCAAAAAAACCCAGATCCTTGAAAATACTGTAATGAGAAGGGCTGCTCAAAGATTAATGTTTTGCTGCTACATAGAATTTAGTATGCATGTTAATTGGCTGTATCAGTTATTGGATGTGTACTGCATATATGGATCAATTGCTTGGTTAATTTGGGGGGTCAGGTGGGGAGTTATTCTTTTTAGCCTGAAAGTATGCTTTTCCTTTCCTTGGGTGGGTTTTCTGCAATCTTTATGGGTAGATATATGAATGTATTTTCACTTCTCCTCCAAAGTTTTAAAAATTAATTTGGGAGTTTAAAGGGGATTTAGTACAAGTGAAACAAAAGACTATAATGTTTGACTAGCTTATTTACTGGATACATGACGTTTTGAAACTGGTTTGTTCCTATGTAGCAGTATTATCCACCTAGGAATTAATTTCTGTCATTATTCTCATGGGTGCTCCCTTTCTTATCTTTTTAAGAGCTTCCTGAGACAACCACAGGATCCACCGCCTTTGATTTACTGGAACTTTACACAGCTTAGCAAATATGCAAGAAAAAAATAAAAAAGAAAAATAATATAAACTGGTAGGATAATTGTGGTGGGTTGACCTTGACTAGCTGCCAGATGCCCCTCCAGTCACTGTCTCATTCCATCTCCTCAACAGGACGGGGGACAAAATAAGATGAAAAAGCTTGTGGGTTACGATAAAGGCAGAGAGATCATGTACCAGTTACCGTCATGGGCAAAACAGACTCAGCTTGGGGAAAGTTAATTATTTATTGCAAATTAAAATAGATTTGGATATTGGGAAATGAAGACAAAAACATTAAAGCAACACCTTCCTCCTGCTCCCTCGTCCCAGGCTCCACTTCACTGCTTTATTCCTGACTTCACTGCCCTCATGACCCACCACCCTGAGAAGCACAGAGGGATGGGGGTCATTGGGTCAGTCCATAACAGCTTCTTTCTGCTGCTCCTTCCTCCTCACGCTGTTCCCCTGCTGCAGCATTGGTCGTCCATGGGCTGCAGTCCTTCAGGATAAACCTGCTCCAGAGTGTGTCCTCTGTGTCCCACACATCTCCTGTGGGGGTGGACGCAAAACAATCTAAGTGTGTAAAGTGAAGCAAGGCTTGTTTGGAATTGTCATGTCTTTTATTTGACCAGCTGTTGCCCGTAGTGAACATAAAAGCTATAGCTCAGAGCATGTAAAT